GGTTTTGAGTGTGTTTGCTTTGTCCACACTAGGAATTCTGGGAAACTTGATCCTAGAGCTATAAAGTGTGCTCTCATTGGATATTCTCCGACACAGAAAGGTTGCAAATGTTATCATCCTCCCTCTAGGAGATCTTTTCTTGGCATGGATGTTACTTTTTGAGAATCTGAGCCCTATTTCAGTATTACCTATCACCTCTTCGGGGGGAGAGCAGTAAGGAGGAAGAGGTGATTCTACCTAGTTCCATTATTAGACCTCTTGGTGATATTGTCACATGGGAAAGTGAAATTGGAGAAAGAATTCAGGGGGAGACTATTGGGCGTTTGGATAGGCATAATTTGAAAACTTACTCGAGGAGAAATAGAGTAGAAGAAGTCATCATGCAATCAACCGAAGCTGAACCTTCTTCTACTGGTGAGTTAACTACATTTCCTAATGAGTTAGATGTGCCTATTGCTCATAAAAAGGAGTCAGATCTTGCACTACCAAACATTCTTTATCTAATTTTGTCTCCTGTAATTCTTTGCCTCCTTCCTATAGAGCATTTGCCTTGTCTATTTCTTTTGTGTCTATTCCCCAGTATTGGAGGGAAACTTTTTTTGCATATCTTAAATAGAAGCAGGCTATGATTGAAGAAATGAAGGCCTTGTCAAAAAAGTGAGACTTGGGAACTTGTCTCTTCACCAGCAGATAAGAAGTTGGTTGGTTGTAAATGGGTCTTCACTGTGAAGCAAAAAACTGATGGCCCGATTGAAAGATTCAAAGCAAGATTGGTGGCTAAGGGATTCACTCAGACTTATGAAGTGGACTATCAAAAGACATTTGCTCCTGTTGCAAAAATAAACACTATCAGGAAACTTTTGTCTTGTGTGGCTAATCTTGATTGGGACTTACAACAGTTTGATGTGAAGAATGCATTTTTTCATGGAGACTTGGAAGAAGAGATGTATATGGAGATTCCTCTCGAATTTGATACTGAACAAAGTCAAGGAAAGGTGTGCAGACGGAAGAAAGCCCTATACGGACTGAATTAATCTCCTAGAGCTTGGTTTGATAGATTCTACAAAGCAATGATCTCCTTCGCCTACCAACAAAGCAATGCTGATCATACTCTCTTCATAAGACATCAAAAGGATAAACTCACTCTTCTCATAGTTTATGTCGACGACACAGTAATGACGGGAGATGACAAAGGGAAAATGACCCAATTGAAGAAGCTATTGGCACAGGAATTTGAGATCAAGAATCTAGGAAAATTGCAGTACTTCTTGGAATTGAGGTTGCTAAATCAAAAAGAGAAATCTTTATTTCTCATAGAAAGTATATTTTGGATCTCTTGAAAGAAACTGGTATGACAGGTTGCAAACCAGCGGAATCGCCCATTGAAAGTAATCACAAGTTACAAACTAGAGTACATAGCATATTCAACCAGCTTGGTGAGTCAGTTTATGCATGATCCCCGAGATCCTCATATGCAAGTTGTCTTTCACATTTTGCGGTATCTAAAGTCTGCTATAGGCAAAGGTCTGCTTTTCTCCAAACATGGTCACCTTCAGGTAGAAGCCTATACAGATACGGGTTGGGTTGCATCTTTAGATGATAGAAGATCTGCATCTAGTTACCGTACACTCATAGGAGGGAATTTGGTTACTTGGAGAAGCAAGAAGCAAAGTGTAGTTGCTAGATCTAGTGCGGAAGCAGAATATAGAGCTATTGGCCCATGGTGTCTGTGAACTTCTTTGGTTACTAAAATTACTAGAGGAATTGAGACTCTCTGAAAAGCAGAAACTTTTCTTATATTGTGACAACAAGGCTGCCATCAGAATAGCTCATAATCTAGTCCAGCATGACCGAATAAAGCATATTGAAATTGATCATCAAAGAAAAATTTACAATTTGTGTCTTGAGCTTGTTTCATCACTTAATGTGTCATCAGAAAAGCAGCTAGCCGATGTGTTTACCAAGGGTCTCAATAAACGGAACGGACTTTTCATACACTGGTTTGCAAGTTGGGCATGTGCGTCATCTTTGCACCAACTTGAGGGGGGTATTGATTGGCTTAATTATTGGAAAAGATTTAATTTTGTTGATTGGTTTAATTATTAGGAGAGATTTGATTCTGATTGATTGTAATTTATTTTCCTTCTTAAAATAGTCATAGGACCTAGTGTATAAATACATTTACTTAGGGATGTAAGAAACACACTGAAATACAAGAAGCTTTCTCTTCTTCTCAAAAAATCTATAGTTTCTAAAATCAATTAGGCGCATATATTTTGTTTCAGCAAAAGTCTACATGGAAAGGAACTCAAAATATTTCAGAAAAATAAAAACATCCCTCTTTTTGTCTTTCATATGATTTTGAGATTCATCACATAAGGCCTGATGGGTTATTATATGTAGCAGAAGCAATCCAGTATCAAAATCACATGTAATCTAGACAATTAGCATATACAAAGTTATACAGGTTACCTCTTGAAGCACGAGCACAACTCGTCGATCAAGTAGCCCTTTAGTTTCGCGGATGGTCAGCGAAAGCACCACCAAGTTTGCTCCTCACCAGCAAGATCATGATCCAGCAGTTCCACGATCTTCACCCGTGTTACCCAGATAATACCCAAAAATAGCAAAATTCGAGTGCGCGAATTTCTCTAGGAAAACATGTCCCAAATACAGCTAGAGAAAACGCCTACCTCTAGATGGAAAAACTCATGTATTTATAACACACATTTTAAGGGTTTAAAGCCCTTTTCCAAAACCTATTGGAATTTCTTTTTCACCAAGACTAGTATTTCTTTTATTTCCTAATATTCAGGTACAACAGGGAGCACATAATTCAATTAATGAGCCTTCGTATAATGGAATTAATTCGTAATATTTGAATTAATTCTATCATAATAAATCACGAGTTATTCCACTAAAAATTCGTAATTGCACTCAGTTCAATTTTAAAAATTCTTCCATTAAATCTATTTAATTCCTCATGTTAAGATTCACATGCTAATGAATGCCAATTTAATTTATTACTTATTTCCTTTAGACTTTCACTTAATTATTTTATGTGTCGGATACAAAATTCATCGGTGAGTAAAGGTGTATCATCAATCTCAATATGGAGACATGAATTCCATCGGCTAATCATTACATAGCCAATATATATCTTTATTTGTCTAATTTACCAAGCACATTGACTCACAAAAGAATCTCGCCTTTTAATAAATTAGAATAATAAATAATATACACAACTAATAATTATTATGTCAAGATTAAGAGTATAATTATATTTAATGGACTAGAGGATTATTTTATTAAGTCAATATAAAATACTTTTCTCTACTTGGTCTGTTTAATACATACAAAATATACTAGCGCAAGAAGTCGGAATTAAACTATTAACTATTCTGATGGTTTGTCCGATTTCATCATTAGATTGTGAATTCAAACTTTATTCTTGTAAAAATCGATAATTTAATCATCCATGTATATGCTAAAACTCTATACGCTAAATCATTTAATCCCTTTGTTTCAATTTATGTGTTATTTTGACTTGGCACGGGGTTTAAGAAAGTAAGAAAGACTTTTAAATCTTGTGTTCTTAAACTAAAGATGTGTGTAATGTACCAAAATGCCCTTGAATTTTGTGGTCTTAAATATGTCATGGGGAAAGTTGGAGTTAAGGAGTTACTAAACATAGAAAGAGGCATTCTTTTTTGAACAGACTAAAAGAAAAGTAAGACACATAAACGAATGGAGTACTATATAAGTAAATGGACAAACAGATGAATATATGATCTATTTAAATTTTTATTAAAATTGAATAAATAATTGTTTCATAATAAATAATATATCTAAAACATAGTTAATAGTATATATCCCAACAGGGCCGATAAACTAGCTTTTGGGATATGCCGATATATGCCGATGACAACCCAAAAGATTGTCGTCTCTGATGTTCCACCACCACCACCACCGCCCCCCCCCCCCCCAAACCTGAATCGATATCTTTCCCCGGACTCGGGGAGAAATCTTTTGCTCCGGACGAAGGAAACAGGAAGATTGAAATTGATATGGCAGGAATTGTTGTTACTGATTCTTATTTGCTCAAGGAAGAAAGTAACAAAGTTGAAGAACTCCCAAATCCTGAACAAAAAGCTTTAAAGGAATTGAAACATTTGGTTCAAATGCTCTGATGAACAACCGGCACTACAGCTCCGGCTGAAACACCAGCGAAGTGGAGCTGGTGCTGGACCAAGAATTGGATATGTTTCTGACTACCCTGCTAAGCTAATTGAACCATTATTGGTTTAATGCTATTCTCAATTGCTTATTTAGTTTTTATTAATATATATGTATATATATGTAATGACATTCTGCATGAAGATTTCAACTTTCTGTGTATTCCTGCTTCTTTTAAGTTTCGACAGCCATGGAGGAGAAACCAACTGAGGAAGACTTTCTAAATATTTTAATTTCCTTTCCATGTGGCCGTATGCTGAAATAAAATACCCCTCCCATGGATTTTGGAAATCCATGTCAGCAAGAAAATATTATTTGAGTGGATTAAAATCAGACCTAGAGCTCCGTCAGTTTTTAGGGGCATAAACGAGCCATTTGACTAACGGCGAGGGTAATTTTGGGACTATAATCAAACTGGTATAATTGCGCTCTATTTCCAACAGCAAAGGGGCAGTTTGGCCCTTTTCCATTTAAGCAATTGGTAAGGTGAGGGTGGAAGTATGAGTGCATAGTTCTTGGAGTCATTTGGTGATTTACTCCTTCGATGGTAATAGGAATTGTGGATCGGTGACCAAATTCAATATCTTCTTTTTCAAACAATAGTTGAAGTACACCTTTATTCTATGGATCTTTGTCAGGTTCCGAAGCTTTTGTTTGGGCTGTATAAAAAGCGGATCATGTGTAATTATTGGTTTAAACAAGGCTACGTTGCTATGCATTTCAATTCAAAGCAAACTTATTGACAGTAATTGTTCATCTTGCAGCTTATCAAGATTACAGCACCGCTACCATCTATCCTTCTAACACGAGAAGAACGCAAGGCGAATCAGCCAAATTCCAGCTATAAGTATATTCCGTGCGTGCCCCTGCTACTAGGTAGTCAAGGTTACCCTACCTCTTGGCCTGCAGATACCGTTGGAAGTAGAAGAATAATTTAAAGATTCAAGTCATGGCACACACAATGTTGATTAATGTGACTTGTAAGTTTACAACTTAGAAGCGTGTTTTTTTCTTTTTTCCGTTTTCTTTGGTCAAAAGATTTTGGAAAGCAGAGATGGAGAATTTTTAAATCTGGACCAGACTAAAAAAACTTAGTGGGATCTTTAGAGCATATCCTGAGGCAGATATTTTGCGGCAGGGCCTGTGAAAACGATTATTGACTTTAATCACGCCAGTCATCACGGGGCGAACCAAGAAAGAAAAGTCAGTGATAAGTGCGGTGGGACCCATCTAAGAAGAAACCCCGTGTTATTTCTTTAATCACCTGTCAACGAGGCCAGCTGTCACTAACCAGTATCTATCCAAATGCAATCATAAGTGAAAAGAATCCGCTTCTCTTCCCCCAGTCAAACGAATGTTCAACTAAAATCTAACCTTCCTTGTAATCTTCTGCAGTTAGAAATAACCACCCCAACGAGCCCCAGAACAACATCAACAACCACTTATTAATAATATCAAACACCAACAGGAAAAAATCAGCACAAAAAATTAATAACGTACAAGATAAAAAGGGAGAAACACTGTAAGACGATGCAAAAGATACTGAATTTCTTCCACCTCCCAAGCTTCTGATAAATTATTGCTGTATTTTCCATCAAATACAACAAATACAAAGCTACTGGCAAATATTACAGACACCTAGAATTCTGTAACAAAAAAGACGGCAACTACTACCGTCTACTGCCTATAAGTTTCCTGAATTAAAATTACAAAAACTATTGTACATTGTGGCAAAAAGAGAATTGCCACGGAGGCCATCCACTGTGGCCTCCCTTGCGATCAACTACCTGCTGATGTCCCCCTTACTTAACCAATAATCATCTTCTCTTATGATGCTTGTCGCCTGCCCACTAAATTGTTCCGCTTTGGCATAATGCATTTTGATTGCAGCCACCGGATCAGAGACGCCGGTGCACTGCCCTCCCACCAAAATCCCTCCTCTACCAACAACCACACCCCTTGCCTGTTGCTGCATACTAGACACCACATCGAACCCATTTCTTCTTTGCATCTCAGAGAACACCGCATCTTGCCTCTGTTTCATTTCTATAGTAAAAGGCTGCACATCTAGACTCCTGTACACTTGATAATCTGCTGCTGCTACTCCATTGTTGCTACTTATATCTCTAGTCGGAAAGACAGGGACACCGTTCAAACTCCGCTCAGTGGCTGTCTTCATAACCCCATGCAAAGGAGGCTGTTGTTCCACTTTGCTGGAAGATATCGCATAATTACCAAATGCAGCAGGATATTTTGCCAGCAAGATAGCAGAGTCAGGCAACGAAGAAAACCCTGTTTGTATTCTATTTCCATCCCAGAAACCAAAACTTCTTACTTGATGATTCTCAGAGCCCAGGAAGTTACTGCGCTCGGATTTGGCAGTAGCAGAATTCCCATCTAAACTGTGACTTGCACTGGACATATTGCTACAAACTTCCTTGCTACTGTCACTCTGCTGCGCATTGGAACTGGTATTCGCTTGAGGGCATGGTTTACTGAGAATCTGTCCAAACAATTTCACATCACCATTCCTACAAGGTTTATCAACATTTGATGAGCTACCTCCTACTGTCTGTTCTCGGTTAGTACCATTGCACCTCTGGAGAAAGAAACCAGTTGTAGATGACGTATCTGAACGTAGATTCTTACCCATTTTCTGGATTTCTTGCAATGCAGCTGATGTACTGCAGCCATCTCCACTCTCCTTCGTGGCTGACTCCCCCAATGAATAGCTGCCAAGAATCTGCCTGGATTCAATATGGGCTATCCGTGAGGTACTTGGCAAGGGCTGCTCAGCTGACTGAGTAGCATTGTCATGCTGCTGATCACCAACATTCTCAAGTTCTAGTTCTGATAAATAAACAGTACTAGAAGCCCGAGGCATTTTTTTCCTCAGAACTGAAATATTGCTTCCTGAGTAATTGACATCAGGCTTACACTCAGAATCAGATTCCAGTAGTGTCGTATTCTGAGATCCATTAAGAGGGCACAATTCAGCTCCCCTAACAGCAGCAAGATGTGAATTACTCCCGGAGGAAACCATATTGGACTTGGTATCTTCCAAAGAGAAGTTTGACCTACTTACTTCAGCGCTATCTGCCTTTCTATTTTTCAAATCATGTTCAGGCACTACTCCCTTTATTTCTTCCCCTGAATGCTCGCCAGAAACTTTATTGGCACACAATATGCCAGCCGGACCATTCTCAGAGACATCTCCATCAATTTGAACACCACCTTCCTGAGAAACCGTAACCATATTTTCATCCCCTCGACCATTTTCAGTACAAGCACCAATCTGAATCTCACAATGCCTGTCAAATTCCACCCTTTGCTTATCCACATGACAATTTACCTGAACTGAATTCTTTGACACAAGTTCAGTATCTACTGAATCCAGTTCTCCAGCCCCATCTTTATCATCAGAGCTGGTCATATCAGGCTTTGAAATCCCTGCACTCACACATAAATCAGATAGCTCTTTCAACTTCAAACTTGATTTTTCATTACAGAACAGCTCAGTCTCCGTAACACAAGCATCAGGATCATTTCCACCATTAACATCCTGCCTCACCAAATTGCCAGGTCCAGGAAGAATATTATCCAGTCCGAGACACTTCCTCGCCTTGCTAAAGAATATCTTGCACTGCTCCCGGGATCTCGTTCGAACACATCTTGATACCATAACAAAATCTTTGCCATAAGCTGACACAGCCTGGATGAAGATTGATTTCTCTTCATCCGTCCAATCAGTAGGATCCATCTCGCCACAGCTCTCATCTGAACAGGTTTCATCATCAACACTCTGGGTAACCTCTGGAGTCAGGGGCAATCTGGTCGATGAACCCACTTTCTGGTGCTTCCATTCCTGGTTTCCTTCTGCAGGATCAATTGAACTTGTAATGCAGGAACTCATAGCTTCTGATGATAAGGAACCACAGATACCAGTCAAAACATCAGCAGCCACTCTTTCTCTTTCACTATGACATACATCAAGACTGTTTGACCTCTCCAACTCATTGTGTCTGGACGTCTTGTGCTCAGTGACCATTCGAACTGAGTACTTTGACGTACACTTTTGCTGAATTTCAATACTATCCTCAACATTAGCTGCAATTGCTGATGCAGCACCTAAGATATCAAGAGAAACAGAATTAGCCTCACGGTTCCATCTTTTCCCAGAAGAAGCAACAAGGTAGGTATTTGCAGAACAAACTTTTGCTTGTTTAGAATAATCTGGTTTTCTCTTTGTTCTCTCAAAACAATCTGATTTGTGATTCTTGTAATAGAACTCTATGCAATCAGCAGTTGTTTTATGATCAAGAAAAGAAGCGATCTTCCTGAAGTCTTTCCCAAAGGTAGCAAGTTTGTCAATAAAAATTTCTCTCTCCTCTGATGTCCATGGATTGATTACAGACCTTTCTTTCTCAACAGCACAGGGATCTTCCACCAGACTATTTTTTGAAATAAACCTTGACATCGTCCTCTCCTTCTGATCTAAAACTAAAGCAGGCATCCTTAACGTGTTCCTGTAGACCTTCGCCCTAAGATCTGAGAGCAGCCTGCTTGCAAAGTTCAATACTTCAGATGAGGGTACCAGGCTTGAGTTTCCAACTGCATTGGCAATGGACATTTTTAAAATCAGTATTGCAAAGAAAACGAACATGAAGGCAAACAAAGCCACTGGGATATTGCAAAAGCTAAAGAAGAAAAAGATGAAAACCCTTCACACATATTTACAGACATAGGATGCATATCTCAAGGAATTTGTAATTTCTTTTGCGTCCAAGACAGCTTCACGCACCTCTCCCACAAGCAAGGGTAAACCTGCCATGGAAGCTGGTACAGATGGGCTCTCTCACACTGAGTGTTGTAGTTGGGATATAAAACTGGGTTCTTCGGGTTGCTAGCCTGTTGTCACTTATACGCCTGAACCAGTCAGCCATCCCCAGTTATCCCCTCGGCAATAAAATTAAGGAACTAGCTAAATTGGAAACAAACAACTAACAGGTAATCACGCATGACCATCTTCTTATGTGCTTTTGCTTTAAAATACTACTTAAAACGTGAGAAACAAAAAAATTCATGAAGTGGGACTGTAGATATCTAAATTCCAACAAGAATTTCGTGCTACTTATTGAAAGCATTAGACAGCCACGCACAACCTGCAACATGACTAAATATACAAGAGTACTTCAAACATCGCCCCATTTTAGTCCTCCAAGAAAGCTATTGCAAATGCCTTGGGTGTGGGATACGTACCGGATATGGTCAATAAACATTGGTGCTTTGACCAATGACCACAATCTAAGGAAAAATTAGAAAAAAGATTTGGCATTTTAATTTCTCAGGACAAAAGCTACTGTGGATTTCTAGATGGCTACCTACAACTTGAGAATAATATGGATTCTACAAGCTCCATGTACGTTCTCCACATAACATCTCATGATTTACGCATATTTTTATAGCTCTACTCAAGATACAGCCAAATCCCCGGACCTTTATCTGGATCCGTAGAATCTTAAAATTTACAAAATGTAGGATTCAACCTCTAGATCCGCAGCCGTATCAGATACTTGCACCCGAGTCCGAGCAACTTAGCAAGAACCTACTAAACATTTTTTATGGATCAGACCTCCAGCACGTAAAGAGACAAGAACGCTAAAAAATAGAACTCCACATTTTAAAACTTAAAAATAAGTACCTTTCAAATCAAAGAGCAAAATTGTGGTAAAGATGGAAAAAAAAAGATCGAAGTAGAAACTGTCTAGATTATCAATATAGATTCTAATTCATGAGGGCCAATGCCATGAACTAGTAAAAAGAGGACCACCGGAAATGGCACGAAAGTCTTTTCCCCCCAACCCCAAACCCCTAGTTCGTAGGAGCTATAACGTTGTCTGACTACCCTCCGGGCAACGAACAACAAATTGAGTACAATAAATTCCACAGCTTAACTTTGATTCATCTAACTACTCCCTAACTCTGGACCACAATGTTGAATGTTGTACCCACACATTAAACAAAAGTATCGCACTTAAAATTCATCTCAATGGATAGTGGAACCAACTTGAGGCAAGAAGAGTGTAAGGTTGCAGCACGGCACCAAAATATCC